AGCGAGGGGCACTGGCAGGGCTGGGGGACAGGGGCTGTGAGCCGGGAATGCAGGCGGGAGGCAGGGGCTGCAGGGCAGGAATGAGGGGCACCGGCAGAGCACTTGTGTTGGCCAGGGTGCACTGGGGCTGTCCCATTGGGTCTTCCTAGAAGGTTTCTGCTCTTTGCCTCTTTTTGCCAGGTGTGGAGTTTGGGGCTCGGATGATCAACATTGACAGCAAACAGATCAAGCTGCAGATCTGGGACACGGTGAGACGAGGGGTGGGCAGTAGGGCTCGGGGCGGCAATTGGGACAGCGGGAATATTGGGGCTGGGATATAGATAGGGAAATGGAGCTGTGGGGGGCGGTTACTCAGATGTGCTGGCCTGTGGGGTCTAATGGAGCTTCAGGATGCAGGGGGCTGACTTGGGGGTGATGAGGGGACTAGGGGGCTGGGCAAGCCAGATGTGGGCTGGGGGAATGGTAGGATGGAGGAACTGAGCCAGGCCCCAGTGGAGAGCTGTGGGCCTGGGCAGAGCCATGGGGCAGGGGGAGCCATACCCTGGGGCGAAGTCAAATCAGGGGAGCTGCTGTACTCAACATCCCTCCTCTCCTGTCCAGGCTGGGCAGGAGTCGTTTCGTTCCATCACCCGCTCATACTACCGTGGTGCGGCCGGGGCACTGCTGGTCTATGACATCACTAGGTAAGGCCTGCCCCACCCGCCATACCTCCCACTGACATGCTTGGAGCCTGGGGACCTCCCAGCCCCCTCTGTGCCAGGATGGGTAGGAATGGTGGCCCTAGCCTCTGGAGGTGGGTGACGGGAGAGATCATGTGACGATTACCTGTTGTGACACTGGGCTCGATGGACTTTTGCTCTGACCCCATGTGGCCGTTCTTATGCCCCACAGGCGGGAGACCTTTAACCACCTGACCACCTGGCTGGAGGACGCTCGGCAGCATTCCAGCTCCAACATGGTCATCATGCTCATTGGCAACAAGAGGTAGCCGGAGGCAAGGGGGCTGGGATCCACTTGGCAGGGAGGGGCGGATTCGGGCTGTCGAGGAGCTGGGAGAGCAGCCAGATGGGGGACACCTGTGGGGTAGGATGGGAAGGCGTCTCACCATGGGGGGATTCTCTGGGGCATGCAGGGATCCAGGGTGAAGCACAGAGGACCCAGGGAGTCAGTGGAGCAGGACCCCTGCCCAGCCGCGCTCACCCCCGCCCCTCGTGTCCCCGTAGCGACCTGGAATCTCGGCGGGACGTGCAGAAAGCGGAGGGCGAGGCCTTCGCACGGGAACATGGGCTGGTCTTCATGGAGACTTCGGCCAAGACATCCACCAACGTGGAAGAGGTGACTGGGAGAAAGGGAGGGGCTGAGGTTGTGGCCTGGGACTGCCCTTCCCTGCCACCTGCCTGTCTGCTTCCCACCTGATCTCCCTGTGTCCCTTCCCCTGCTCCCCTATCTCCTTCCTCTTCCTGCACCCTCTGTCGCTGCCAGTGGCATGGCGGTGCCCTGGCGTCACCCCTCCTACCCTGCCCATGCATCCCTCCAATCCCAGGTTCACCTAGTGTTTCCCTCACAGATGGGGTGATGCATGGGACCCCGTTATATGGGAGGGAGGAGGGAGTTTCCCAGACTTGCCTCGTTTCAGCCCCACGTGTGTTGGGATTTTAGGCCTTCATTGACACAGCCAAGGAAATCTACAGGAAGATCCAACAGGGGCTCTTTGACGTCAACAACGAGGTGAGCCAAAGCTGCCCGCCCTGCCTGGGTCCCATTGCTCATCCCACTCCCAGGGCCTGTAGGGCCATCCTGGACATCTAGGTCCCATTGCTCATCCCCCTCCCAGGGCCTGTAGGGCCATCCTGGACATCTAGGTCCCATTGCTCATCCCCCTCCCAGGGCCTGTAGGGCCATCCTGGACATCTAGGTCCCATTGCTCATCCCCCTCCCAGGGCCTGTAGGGCCATCCTGGACATCTAGGTCCCATTGCTCATCCCCCTCCCAGGGCCTGTAGGGCCATCCTGGACATCTAGGTCCCATTGCTCATCCCCCTCCCAGGGCCTGTAGGGCCATCCTGGACATCTAGGTCCCATTGCTCATCCCCCTCCCAGGGCCTGTAGGGCCATCCTGGACATCTAGGTCCCATTGCTCATCCCCCTCCCAGGGCCTGTAGGGCCATCCTGGACATCTAGGTCCCATTGCTCATCCCCCTCCCAGGGCCTGTAGGGCCATCCTGGACATCTAGGTCCCATTGCTCATCCCCCTCCCAGGGCCTGTAGGGCCATCCTGGACATCTAGGTCCCATTGCTCATCCCCCTCCCAGGGCCTGTAGGGCCATCCTGGACATCTAGGTCCCATTGCTCATCCCCCTCCCAGGGCCTGTAGGGCCATCCTGGACATCTAGGTCCCATTGCTCATCCCCCTCCCAGGGCCTGTAGGGCCATCCTGGACATCTAGGTCCCATTGCTCATCCCCCTCCCAGGGCCTGTAGGGCCATCCTGGACATCTAGGTCCCATTGCTCATCCCTCCCCCCACCACCTCAGGGCCTGTAGGACCATCCCGGTCACCTACATCCCATTGCTTGTCCCCCTCCCGGGGCCTGTAGGGCCATTGCTCGTCCCCTCCGCTCCCACCCCACCCCCGGGCCTGCAGGGCCATCCCGAACACCTGGGCTTCCCCTGCATCTCCCAGGCACAGGGGTGAGTGCCCCATGCTGCTATCTTGAATGCCTGGGTCCCATTCCCAACCCCAGGGTCTCATTAAGGGGGGAGCGGTTGTGGGGCTCTGGGGCAGGGTCTTCCCTTGCGTAACCTTCCCTCTCTCTTCTAGGCAAATGGGATCAAGATTGGGCCACAGCAACCGTCGGGCATAGCTCCTGGCGCCGGCACCCGTCACAGCCCCCAGGGCTCTGGAGACAGCTCAGGCTGCTGCTAGGCGCCCCGCAGTGCCCTCTGGTGTTGTCAGAGCCCCTGACTCACCCTCTGCTCCCGCGGGGTGAGACCAGCCCGCAGCCCTGGTGAGGAAGTTGGCTCCCAGCGGAAGTGGGGAGATCTCCTGTCCTGACCCCATGGAGGGGAGCAAGGACCCGATGCCTCCTGGATCATGCCTGGGGGGCAGTTAAAGATCCTGCCCCTAAACATTCCTCCCTGTAAGCTGGGGGGGCAGGGGCCAAGATGGGTCTGGAGTCTCCCCCTGTCAGTGCCTTCTTGCTTCTGCTGCATCTCTGACTGCCTAGGACGCACCAAGGCTTCCCTTCCTGGGGACTGAGGGGTCCTGACTGCGGACCCCCCCCATGCTGCCTATGTGTTCCTGGCCAGGAGCCTCTCCCCTTTTAACTGTATCATTCTCTGGCTCCTCGTCTATTAAACATGTACGTGTCTGCAACCCGCACTCTGCATCTCTGCTTATAGGGGAACTGTGGCCCTACCCCCCAGCTCCCCGCGTGCTTGGGAAAGAACCCAGGGGTCCTGGCTCCCAGCTTCCCCCTCTCCTCCCTGCTCTAACCACTAGACCCCTTCCCACTCCTCCCTATTCCTGTCCCAGAGCTGGAGAAAGAACCCAGGACTCCTGGCTCCCATCCCCCTCCTAATCACCCCACTGATGGAAGATGTATTCCTTTGTCTGCCTGGGTGGGTGGGACTGAGCTTTTCTAAATATCTTGACGGATTCAAGTACTGAGTTCCCCATTCTCCTTACAGAGCTCTGAGCATCTGGCCCGTGTGTCTCCGGGCACAGGGGGACAGGTGGGTGAACATGATGACAACACAGAGGCCCAGATGCTGGTGACGGGGCCATAGGTTGCGCATGCTCACCTCTGCTGCTAGGGCAGCGTTTAACAGTCAGGGAAGGGGGTTGCAAAGACCCCCAACCCTCCTCTTCTCAGCACGGTTCAGCGTGGTGCCCAGAGGGAACCAAACCCACTACCACCACCCAACCTCAGCTCTGGGGAAAGCTCCCTAAAGACATCCCTGGGGGCAGGCAGCAGGAGGACTGTGATGGCCAGCGGCTACCTGCGACTTGTGTTCTGCTAGGCGGGTTAGGAAATGAGACCTGAGTTCACTTTTCAAGTGGATTCTTTAACCTGCATCAAACTCCTGCGTGGTTGAATTCAGTTTAGCTTTATTCCCTTTAGGTGTAAATGAAAATCAGCTGAATCACCACCGCTTGAACCCTGAACAAGAGCTTCCGTGCAGGGATTTAATCTGGTTTAATGGATCCGTTTTAAATTCACCCCCTTTGTGTCCCATGTGGACAGCAAGCCACTTGAGCGGGGGAGACACTTGGGTATTCTGTGTCACTTGGACCACGTAGGTCCCAACCAGCTGATCTTTGTGTGCTACTGCTGTATAGGTTTTAATAGCATAGCAACACCAGGGCAGGGGTCATAGCTTTGGGGCGAAAATGTTTTGCTAAGAATTATATATATTTATATATATATGTAACATATGAATTTTTTCTCCTTCCCAGAAATATTTAACTATGTAAAATATTTGAAGGAAAAAATCTTGCAATTTTTCTGACAATTTTGGGGAAATTCACACTTTCAATTTTTTATTTTTCTATAGGAGAAAAAGGAGTTTAAAGGGGTTTAAATTGGAGGCTGTGAGGAGAAGAACCCATTTGTTTTTAATGTGTTCACATTTTCCCACTGGAAAAGTGAGCAAAGATTTTAACAAAACAAAGTCATTATTGGATGCCTGCCTTTCCTCTCTTTTTTTTTTCCAGTGAGGTAAAAAATGAGAGAAAAATTACAATAAACAGAGAAAAGGAAAAACCCAGGAAATCCTATTCTTCTTAAAATTAAGCAATGTTTGATTTGTTTACAAACGCTTTCATTTTGGTGGGAAAAACACTTGTTTAGAATTTTGTAACAAAAGCCATTTTAAAACTTTAAAATGTTGAAGGAACAATACTTGTTTGTAGTCTTTTGAAGCGTTTTGCAAAGCAAACTTCTGACCTGGCTCATAAGTGCAGGGGACAGTTTCAAGTGGTGCACTGGCTTTGGTAGTGATGGACCCAGCTTGCAAGCCTGTCTCTAACTGTAAGAGGCATCTGCTGCCTCCTACAGAAGTTTTTCTGCTCGTGGAGGAACATGACCTTGCCAGACAACATGAGCTGTGCCAACACTGTCAGTGCTGCTGGGGTTTTGCTGGCGTACTGTTCAAACCCCGCCTGATGTATCTGTTACATGTAGACAAGGTCTTAGGACAGCACCAGCCTGAAGAAGTCCAGCCTCACAGGGAAGACATCTGGGAGTTATGAACTCATTCAAATGTTTTGATTTGTGTTTTGGTTTGGTTTTGTTTGTTTTTTTCCCTATTTCTGAGGAGTGGGGGGAGAGAAACTTTTCCTATCAAAAAGCATGTTTTGTTGGGGGGAACCCTAGTTTTTTCTGGTTCCTTTTCCCATGGGTGCTGGATTAAAGTTTTGAAACTGTCAAATGCTTTTGTTTCAGAAGAGCAGGGGAATTCCTCCTTCCTGTTCCATCCTCTGCCTCTTGCCCCCCAGGAAATTAAGTGGGAGGGGCTACAGGAAGAGAGGCGGCATTTCCCCACTGTTTGTTTTACTTTTTTTCTTTTGACTTTGTTTAAAAAGCCCCATCAATCTTTTTTCTGTGGGAAGTGGCTTTGTGGAAACAACTCGGATTAAAATGCTTTTTTTGGAGGAACATGTGTTAAGTACTGGGTCAGACCAGGTCCATCTAGCCCAGTATCCTATCTTCCCACAGTGGCCAGTGCCAGGCGCCCCATGGAATGAACAGAACGGAATCATCAGGCGACCCGTCCCTGTCACCCATTCCCAACCTCTGACAAACAGAGGCCAGAGGCACCCTCTCTGCCCACCCTGACTAATAGCCATGGATAGACTTAACCTCAATGAATTTTGAACTCTTTTAAAGTCCTGTTTAATTCATTTTTTTCCACGCTGGGTCATGATTTTATAGACCTGGAACATAAGAACGGCCATACTGTGTCAGAGCAAAGGTCCATCTAGCCCAATATCCTGTCTGCCAACAGTGGCCAATGCCAGATGCCCCAGAAGGAAGGAACACAACAGGTGATCACATCTCATGATCCCTCTCCTGTCATCCATTTCCAGACAGAGGCTAGGGACACCATTCCTACCCATCCTGGCTAATAGCATTGATGGACCTAACTTGCATGAATCTATCTAGCTCTTGTTTGAACCCTGTTAAAGTCCTAGCCTTCATAACATCCTCTGGGAAGGAGTTCCACAGGTTGACTGTGTGCTGAGTGAAGAAAAAACTTCCTTTAAACCTCCATCATATTTCCTTTAGTCACCTCTTTTCCAAGCTGAACTCTCCCAGTCTTATTAACCTCTCCTCATATGGCAGCCGTTCTCGGATCATTTTTGTTACCCTTTTCTGAACTTTTTCCAATTCTAAAATATCTTTGAGATGAGCTGACCACATATGTGTGCAGTATTCAAGATATAGGCGTGCCATGGATTTATATAGAGGCAATAAGACATTCTTTGTCTTTGTCTCTTTTTTTCTGATTTTTAATACTCTGTTTGCTTTTTTCACTGCTGCTGCACATTGAGTGGCTGTTTTCAGAGAACTATCCACAATGACTTCAAGATCTCTCTCTGGAGTGGTTATAGCTAAATGTAGTTGGGATGATATTTTCCAATGTGCATTATCTTGCATTTATCAACATTAAAATCCATGTGCCAGTTTGTTGCCAAGTCACCTAATGTGTTGAGCAGCTCCAGGACTCAGAGTCAAGCTGGAAGGGCTGAGAATCCCAGTAAGGGATGTTTTTGCTGAACACCAGTTGCTGGGCTTAGTACACAAGTTACATCTGGACAGGAGTGGTTTTGTGGGTATTTTTCCTTGCAATTTGGAGGTGCACAGGGCCATCTAGAGGTGAGCCATGGCCTGGTGGAGGCTGGCCAAGACAAGCCCCTGGGAAGCACAGCAGTGAGTAACAGTGGGAGTTAGAGGGGTCACAGAGGCTAATGTTTCTGGTATCTTTCTGGGGAGAATGAATGTGACCAGTCACTCATCCAGCTGTATCTGAATCCCCCTGGGGCTCAGTTTCCTTTGTGACCAGAGGCTATAGCTCTGCCTTCAGGCAGTGAGCTCAGAAATGGAGCAAAGCAAGCAGCCTCTGAGCCCTCCAGGGCAAATAGCTTTGTTCCTACCTTGCACTGGTGCTGCCGAGCATGCCACTGTAGGGAGCAAGGTGGGGCAGAACTAGACGTAGTGAGGTGTATCCCCACACTGACCACAGCTGTTGGCCAAATCCTGCTCCCATCTGTAAAATCCACACAGACTTGGAGGGGAGCTGCCGCCACCTGCTCTTAGTTCACTGCTTGTAGCTTTCTTCACACCTCCCAGAGCCCAGAACCCACCTAAAGCCCATCCGCACCCAGAATTGTCCAGATTCACACCACATGGGCTTGTTCCAGGAGAAGAGTGCCTGGTTTCTGCCTATCTTGAGGCCGGATCTACACTACTAGAAACGCTGGGCCAGCGACCTCTCCTAGTGTGAACACATCTTATGCTACCACGAAAAAAACGTTAGTTTGCTGGCACTTCCAGTCACTGCCTTGTTTATACCGGAAGAGTTTGTCTGGCCTAGCTGAACCCAGTCTGGCTACACAGGCAAGTCACCTGGTGGAGATGCAGTGTGCACCAGTAGAAGACTCACCCAGCCTTAATCTAGATTCATGTCTCAATGTAGACAAGACTAAAGGTACGTCTACATAGCAATGTTATTTTAAAATAACAGTCCACCTCTACACAGCAGGCAGGTCTTTCGATATACAGTCAAACTGGAGGACTTCTTACTCCGACTCCTGTAACCCTCATGGTATGAGGAGTAAGGGATGTCCAAGGAAGAGTACTCTATTTTGAAATAAGTGCTGTGTAGACACACCCTGCGAGTGCTAGCGGGAGTTGACCAAGAGTAAAGCTGGGTGTAGAACAGCCTTTGTGATTGTGAATACCAGGATTTAAACCACTGTGCCTCTTTGCAAATTGGGGATTAGAAGATTAAAGTAAATGGGTCCTGTGTTAATATTGCAAAAATACAGAGTTATGTGGGAGAAAAACCCACAGCCCTTGGGGAAACTTGTCAGTCTCAATGGTAAGCATAGACCAGATCTCCCCCAAGTGAAATCATTCTACCTATAGAAGAGCAGTTCTTGGTACGGCTGTGTGTAGACAGGAGCGTCGCTGGCCCATCTTTGTGGGTGAGGACATAGGCTGCTTCACAACCTTGACCCATAAAGCCATGCTGGTAGGAACGCCAGAGCCAGAGGGTTCATGTACTCATGTAGTTTCATTGACTGACTTCACAAGTGGACAACTTAAGAGTTGCCTATGTGGGGATGTCAATCCAGACAACGGCAGGATG